CAAGTTGCTCGCTTGTGTTGAGGAGATATTTCCATCTCTGAAAAAATACAGCACCCTGCAAGATATTCTAAAACTATTCATCGCCTCTCTTGTTTATCATAACAAGTTCTTATGTGGTGCCTGCGTCATATCCGCTGTTGTAGTCGTTCATGTTCCGGCACCTAGATATGCTGAACCACCTTGAAACAGTTCTTGTGCGTGGTAGTTCACCTTGGATGAAACCAACCGGTATACCTCCTCACGTTGAACTCTACAAACATCTACAGCACATACAAGCATCTATTGGTAACTTGCCCCCGGTACTTCTAGAGGGAATGTCGACGCTAATAGAGGAGAAAGGCATCACTGCTGGAAATATCACGAAGCAAATGCGTTCGCAAAACCTTTTCCGATTGTACTATGATGATCAAGCATCTTACCGATGTAGCAACTGCAGCTGATCAATTTGATTCCTGCACGACCAACAGAATAAGAGACAGCCGCAATTTTTATCTCGGCCATGGACAACCTAAAGCTAACCCAATGAAAGCGGAAACGCTGCTTAGCAGAGCTCTCCGTTACTACTGTCCTATGTTTAGTTAGAGAAACCAAAGTGCAACTAAACGCCACAAACGATCCGATTAACTACCAATAAAACACGCTCTTTTAACACCGAAAATCCGTCCTACTAAGTATGTTTTTCCTGATAAGTGAATAGTGGAGTACTTCCCGTAGTTTTTTCAGACGTCCCAGACCCTAAATCTGGCCCTGTTTTGCTCATCTGTGACATCACCTACCCCTTTCAGGCGTCGTAGATCTCGTAGATCTGGGTCAGGTCCTAGATCTGGATGGGGGGGGGGGTCGGCCAGATTATCTAGGCCACCCAAAACTGTGAAAACGTATATATTTGGGGGAAACCTGTGAGATCCTATGTTTCCTTTCACATCTGCCTCATTGATCATTTCCCCACTGGTGACAGCAGCAGACAAGCATGCCCCGGCGTGGTGGAAGAGCTTCTGGGTCCGAAGTGTATTCTATCACAGATATAGACAAGCTAGTTGACTGTGTCAGGAGCGTGAAACCGATTGGAGCGAATGAATGCGAGGAAGTGCTGGAGCAATATCAACAGTACGCAGCTGCAAACGGCAGGGCAGTGTGGAACCTGATCTCCATAAAAAAGAAGTTCCAGAGTTTGATAAACGCCAAGAAACCGACTGGGGATCCGGACTGCCCAAAATATGTGCGCGATGCTCGTGAAGTCCAGGATCGCAATGCAGAGAAAACAGAGCATAACGACGATATTGATGATAGCCGTGGTGGAACACAGGAATCAGCAAATGACCGGATGATCCGGCACAGCCCCACGAGAGTACTCAGCAGTCGGATGGGGCACCGCACTATGATGGAGGTGGAAGAGTTGGTCAGCCCAACAACCACAGGCAGAGCGATCAAGCCAGCTACTTCTTAGAATGTATGTCATAGCGCTGCTGGTGGAGCACCACATC